AGCCTAATTTTAAATGTTTAAAATGTGCCTTTTAAAATGTTTGAACTAGTTGTCTAGGCCCCTTTTTAGTCCATGGAAGGGCCTTTCCCAGAGGAGAACTCATCAGATTTGTATTAGACATCAGCTTTCAGCAGTCATACCCTAGCAGGATCCGTTTTACTCTCTTGTGGTCCTTCCCAGGGTCTCTCTGAGCCATACCTGGGCCACCGCTGCCTGTAGCGTTCCCAGGCTACCAATAGGTGTCCTAGAGGGTGGGACACCATAACCTTAGTCCCCAGCCCTCATGCTCCGCACAGCTTTGTTCAAAGCAGTCATCTGCTGTGGTGGATACCGGGCTGCCACACCAGCATCTGCTGCTGGCCAAAGGAGAGGCCTCTACTGAAACTGGCTACTCATGCAGTCGGGTCAGGACAGTCTCCAGCCCCAGCCACAAGCAGACAGCTCCTTTGGTAACCACAGAGGGAGCAGTATCACAACTGTATGTACGCTTCCCTTTCTTGGAGAGTCAACATACTGTTTTCCGATTCTTTTCTGCTCAAGGGCGCCCGTCTTAAATTGTCATGAAAGTCCTGGGACAGGATGTGCCAAGTGACCCGGATCTGCACCACAGCTTGGGGTGACACCAGTCAACCCCAGCACGCCTTCACTGGGAGCACGGCACATGTATAACATTGTTGTACCACTCAGCAGTGTGGTGCTTGGCTGGAGCCAACAGTGCCATCAGCTGCCTAGTCCCTGCACCAACCCAGATGAGGCAGGTCACCTGCTAGAAGGACATGCAGCTACAAAGTAGCAGCCTGCACAAAGGCCCAGGCTTCTCAGAGTCAGTTTGTGTTACTGCCGTGTGTTGCAGGGGCCCTGCTAGTCCCTGTGGTCCTTATTATGCCATTAGCAATGTCCATGCATGCCTCAGCTACAGCAGTGTCTTCCATCCCATGCACTTAGGGCCCTGCTGTTGCCCTTTTTCAGGGGGCTTCAAGACAGTGTTTGCCGTTACATACGTTGTGTGGCTTCTAGGTAAGACAGAGTTTTTGACAGCTTGCTGCTACGCATAAAGTTTTTCACTGTTGACAGCAAAGAGTGTATGTCGTCTAATGACTCCTGCATCCTAATTTCTTCCCTGGGGGAGAGCCCTTTCACTCAGGTTTGCTCCTGCCCTGTTCTCATTCACAGATCCAAGGTGGGTCTCACTGTGTCCGGCAGTTCTACCCAACACGAGCAGGGTGGTTTAGAGGCACTAGAGGCTTAGCAGTGCAGCTGGTCCTGCAGAATGATCTAGCACACATTTCCTAACATGGCCTAAAGTTCCCAATTCACTTGCTTGCTTTTTTTTAAAATGTTTTTTTGAATAGAGACAAGTTTGTTTGGATACTGTTCCTCATAGCTTCTTACAACTATGAAAGGTTTTGAGGTTTTCCACTGATGACCACTGTTTCGTGTCATGAGATACCTAATACTGAAAAATAATTTGGGGGGGATTGAGACTTTGCTTCACCACAGAGATGACTGAACATCAATGAGGAATTTGATCTTTATTTTCATGATGTTAGCACAATAAACTCACACAGTAGCATTGATCTGTACTTATTTAACAAAATACATTTATAGCAATTTACAAATTCTTTTCCATTTGAAAACATTGCATAACATTTTATTAAACACAATACTTTATATAGAGAATTCTCATTTAAAAACATATTTTGAGTATTTTCTTTTCTCAGTAAAGCACAGCCTAACAAAGAAATTCGTGCCTGTTAGCAAGTAAGAAAATCAGAACACTAAGAAGATGTCACCTGTCAATTTATTTGATTAATTTTAAATTAAGGTATCAGTGGAATGTAAACAAAGAGTAATTTTACAAAAGGCTCCTTATCAAATATACATGCAGAGGTCTGAGTTCCAATGTATATATTATTACATTTCTGCTCTCTAACGTAATATAATTTGATAAGCCATTATTAAAAACAGTAGCCTTTGGCACTTTGAGTAAAAAAGAATATATCAATATTTATGTAAAGAACACAATTTCAATGATTACACAAGAGCTTTAAAATCTTTTGTTAAGAAATAGGAAACCTTAGGAAAAATATCACACTGCACTTGAAATAATGCAGCAAGTTTTAGAGTAATAAAAGCAACACATATGCCAATATATATCTGACTAAAACCAAGGAATAAAGAACAAACACTCCCACCAGGAATCCTGCTGTTTCCGAAGCAGCTAAATTGCCAGAGGGAACATTTTCTAATCTTTGTTTTATTGCCATTATTCTCCATTTCAATTTGCCATTATTTCGAGGTTCATCTACTTATGTTCTTTTCCCCTGCACTTACAAACTAACAAATGATTGCATCTTATTTCCCTGCATTGATAGGCCAACAGTGATTGTGTCTTACCCATTCCTTTAAAGCTAATCCTACCTGCTTTATCATGTACCTAGACTAAACTAAATCCAAAGGGCTTTGTTCCTGACAATCCAAGTGTTTGTAAATCCTAGGAATCTTGTACAAAATTTGATATTAAATACCAAGGACTAAAGATTCATCCTTTTAAAAAGAAAAAACAAATCCTGACTTGTAAATACTAGAGTCTGAGAATATATTCCTAAAAAATTACTATTTTTTTTCTCCCCTGGTATCTATGATTATTTTTCCCAGCTATATGCCTTAAACCGTTCCTTCAACATACTGTGCCTTTAACATACACAATATGCTGTAACCCTACTGGTTAGCTTCTTACGTGTAACCTGCAGAGTACTTCCTCCCAATCATCAAATGTATGATGGGGTTGTCTTCTATTACTAGCAGGAAAGGTGTGGTCATTTCCTTAAGGACCAACATTCTTCCACAGCACTGGGTGATGGGCAGGTGAGGGAAGCATTGCTTGACGGAGTTGGCTGACAGTACTCAGCTAAGCCTGGAGCACCTTGTATAACTGGGAAGGTATATAAAGCTTTCCATTGACTCTGAATCCCTTCTTCTATACAGATTAGCAAACATCATCATCATACTTCTGAAATTACTTAGGATCAGGGTTGGGTTTGGGATTTTGTTTTGGTTTTGAGGGTTTTGTTGTGTTTGGTGGGGTGGGGTTTTTTGGTTTGGTTTTGGTTTGTTTGTGGGTTTTTTGTGGTGTGTGGTTTTTTTTTTTTTTTTTTTTTTCCCATGTCTGTGTGTGTTGTGCTATTTATCTTCTTGGGATGGGATGATTCTTCCTTCTACCTCCTACTTGGCTGGGGTAGGGTGGGCTTTACCTCAGAGTTCTGTGGGGTAGGGTCTGTAGACAGGCTCTGACTACGTAGCATGTATCTGGTTCTCTGATAGCCTAAATCAGAAGCACTCCCCTTGAGAAACCAGAGAACAGACCTGATCTGCTACTATTTATTCAGTGAGGGGGACTGCTAAGCCATTCCCTCCCCCTCCTAGTAGGGGAGCTGGGAGGTGTCTGGCAGTAGTTCTCTTTCAGGTGGAAATAATCTAGGAGAGAATGAGGAGCTGCAGTGGGCAAGCACTGCCCCTGGCTTTCTTCATGGTTTAAGTTAAGTCAGAGCCAAATATAACGAGGCATTCTTCTAGCATGCCCAGGACATGCTATGCTTATTCCTTTCAGAGCATATCCTTTCAATAACTTTTGGCAATGCAGATTTTTAGCAGGCAGATTCTTTGATTATATTCAAAGCTCAATTTACTAAAATAATCTGTGTTCTCTCAGGTGCAGAGACCCTCCATATTCTTAAGTGGCAGTGGTGGGAAAAAATACAATGCTTGAGAAGGCTCTGGAGGGTGTCTCAAGGGAGGTGAATGGTAGTAGTGGCACAATGCAACACTCATTCAGTGATTCTGCAATACCAAGGCATTCCATTTTTAAAACAATGCATAAATCCCCTAAATGATGGTGACTGGGGTGAAACTTGTGACTGTTCTTGTGGCATACTAAGGAAGTGAGGTGAATGACTGCTTCTAAGTGTGAGCAATGATATTAATTACTATCTCCTTGGAAGCTGGTCAGGAAAGTGGCCGTTTATGTACTCATGGCTCACCTTTCCTATTTGCACATCTTGCAGTTATTGGTATCCTGCATTATAGGGTTAAAACCAAATACAAATATGGAAGGGTTGCGGAGGACAGAATACCAGTTTTAAAAATGTAAAATCTAATTACTTGTAGTATTTTAAAAGACCCCTTAAAAAACATAAAACAACTCTACAAGTTAGCCCACTAAGAAGCAGCCTCTTCATTAGTAGCACCTGTTCTTAAACAAAAGTTGAGCAGTAGCAGCAAAACTATTCAAAATAGATAGTTATTCCATTCTAATGGAATGTCACCCACACATTTTTTGTTGCAGTAGACATCTTAAAGAACTACACAAAACCTTTGCAATCTTTGAATGTGACAGATCCACTATAACAAAGCTGTAAATATTTCCTACACTAAATGAATGCAGCCAGCATCATCATAGTATTAGCAATATTACTTTTAAAGTAACTGCACATCAATGTCATGTGTTTGTAGAGTCTAGTAAGTATGCAATTTTTAAAACATGTAAAGTTATCATCAGCACCATCCTGTATTAAAGATTTGGTGCAAATTCTGCAAAGGTGAATATATACCACTGATACAGCCTTTGCTGTGAAAAATTCAGTCAATTTTGGACACAAATATAAATAAAAAGTTGGCACATTCAGGAAATAAAGTGTCTGTGTTCAAGACCACTGTTTCGATTGACATCATCACCCTCAGATAAACGTTTTGAGTCTGAAGAAAAAAGCTGCATGACAATGTTTCACATTAGTTAGGTTCTGGCATTGTGCTTCCCCCCCACACCACATGCTTTCCACAGGCTCATGCACATTGCACATCAGCAGTGCTCAACAAGAGCTGGGCTGCTGGTCAATAATTTGGCACATCAAAGGTAAATACCAGCTCAAAGCAAAGAGAGCAGAACCTGTGTCAAGATGTGTTTATTTTGTGGTGGTACGGACCAGCTGATATGTCTCCTCTCATTCCTTGTATGCTCGTGTTGGGGATGTGCCTTTATAGAAGATGTTTCTCGTGTTCTCTGGACTGCTCCCTCTCTCGGGGATTAAAATGATGTTACCTTTTCTTCGAAGTGTTGAGTCCCGGCTAGAAGAAATGGACAGAGTCTCTGAGCCAATCTCACTTCCCTCCACTGGCGTGACTCTTATCGTAGTGATTCCATGATGGTGATGCTCACTGTTATCTATGTTGCTCCTTTTCCTGTCACCTGACCCGTAAGTGTCTTTTAAGGAGTCACAACTCTCAGAGTCTCTGTTAAGATCATTTAGCTCATATGTCTGACGAAGGGTGACTTTTTCAGGACCTTTCCATTTCCATGACCCACTTCCTTCACCTTCTGATGGCATCTGAATTACAGGTCTGTTATTTTCTGGATGGGCCTCAACTCTGACAATGCTACTTGGCTCATGGTCTGTCAGGGTTTTATATCTGATGGCTCCTGTACAGGTGACTGTGCTTCCCTCTGAACTCTTTGGACTGCCCTGAAGCACTCCTTGCTGCTTAGACATGGCTATTACTTGCATGATTCTTGGCTGGCTATTGCTTCTGCATGCAACACTCTTCTCAGCAGCTTTCAGCCATTTAGCTCTAGCTGAACTGCTTTTGGGCGATGTGTTCACATTCTCCTGAGTCTCTTCAGGAATATGCACTAGCTGAGATGAGCCGGGACGTGACTGAATAGAGACCCTTGGCCCACCAGAAAGACCTGAGTTGTTACAACCTGGTACGCTGCCAGGTTGAATTTTCAGGTATTGGCTAGTTGGGCCATGGTGATCACCGTTTACACCCACTCTGGAGGGTTCTGAGCTTGACCTCATTTCGATAGCCCTTGGAGGTGACTGGCCAGATTCAGTCTCTATTACTTGCAGTGACAACTTTCGACTTTCATTCTTGTTCTTCCACTGGGAAAGCAGCTGTTTGGAACGGGCAGAATCCATTGATGCATGTATTGTTGCATTTCGTCTTGCTGGATCTTCCAAGGATGGTGTGTTGACTCTTGGCAAAGTGTTGCTGAAAGTAACCATATTTTCCTTTCCCATTGGGCTTCGTGGTGTTATTATTTCTACATCAGCATTTGCTCTCTTGATATTGGTCAGAGACCCTGAATCTCTGTGGTTTCTATTCAGGATACTTTCTGTACGGTGAGAGACAATGCCATCACTACTGCTACCATTTTTACCTGGCAGGATTCTGTTGGGATCTTGACTGAGGTCTGTCAAAGACCTTAGAGGTTCTCTGTGAAAATTTGGGTGAAACACATTCTCGTCACTTGGTAAGAAGTTTCCCACAGCATACAGGCCCTGATATTTGAACAGAAGCATCAACAATCGGTTATGGAAAAAACAGACATTTTAAGATATTTTAATTATATTCTTCTGCCTTTAAATAAATATTGAGTGATAGAATTAATCAAGCTTAACTGACAGGGTATGCGCACTTTTCTTTCCCTACCAGTATGTCCTTATCCCAAATTCTGTCCTCAGTCTGGTACATCTAGATATGTATGAAGTAGTCTCAGTAGGATAACTAGGGCACATAGTTCATGGCAATAAATAGTTGAGGAAAAGATTTCGCCTCCTTCAGTTTTCTTCATTTTATAAAGCAACAGATACAGCTGAAGAAAGAATGTTTTGTTATGAAAATAACAAAATAAATGTTTGCAGTCCCCTAGGCGAAGCTATTTTACAGCTACTGTACTGTCTGCTCTGATTTACTGAATCTTGTTACAGCTTGAGTTGTTCTCTGCTCTGTAATTCTGCCCTTTCTACTGCATAATAACCGTGTAATACAATATCTACATGATAGAACAGTTTATCAACTTTAAATCAATTGCTTTCCAAGCTGCGCACAACTGTAACAAGGTTTGGTTATACCACATTTTCTTATTCAGCAGACTTACTGTAAAATGCTGTCATTTTAAACAGGCTCCATTGAGAGAGAATATTCCATGAAAGGGTCAAATGCCTAACTCAATCACTTAGGTTACTTGTTCTTTACACTCCTTTCAGAGTTATTTGTAGTTTCACATTATTTCCCTTCCCCTTCCTCTTACTGGTGTGTAGTTTTCAGGGCAGATTTACTGACTACCGAGTATCCAGGACAATGTACTCTCTGATGTATGTTGTCATGCAACAGTATATGGAGAAGACCTAACAAAGAGCATAATTGTTTGTGGATTTCAAACGTGGGAACAACAGCTCCATTTATGAGAGTCTACAACAGCTTAATAATTTGAAATAATATTCTCAACAGAGTGCCTTTCTGCCCACAGTGCAATCACAGAAACTGACTTTAGTAGCTCGTGGGGTTTCTATTATCTACCTTGGTTGCTCTTTCTTCTGCCACTGCGAAAGCCATTTTTCCTCTGATCACCTTTGTGGACCATCTACATGTACTTTAGATTATCTTATCATAGAAAAAAGGGGGATAGGTTATGAACTTATTTTAGTATTACACTAAAAATTATCATTGACTTCTTGGGAGTCAAAACCATCCCACTGGCTGTTAAGACTCTTCTGTTCACCTGCCCATACTGGAGAAAAAATGTTGTCAGTGTAAGTTCCTGCTTGCTCACAGGCACCTGGGTTGACACTGTGCTGAACTGCTAGGGCAGCAACACTCATGCTGGAGACACACTGAGAGTCGCAAGCAAAAGCAAATGCTTGATGAGCTTCCTGCTGACAGACACAAACAGGTCTATCCTACGTACTTCCTTACAGGACCCTTCCAAGGTGCTCTATCTGTTTCAACCCAGTACAGAGGAAAAGCATAGGAATAACCTGGCTTGGGCATCCCATTTCCCCTGCATAACTTCCCCAAGAGCTCCAAAAAATCACAAGGGTGTAATACTGCCTTTGATTTCTTGCAGGTTCAGCAATTTACTCAGCTGAGTTGCTGCATATTAATTCAACCGTTTTTCTGAGATCATAAAGCTAACGTTTGCAATATAAACTCAAGCTGGCAACAAATACCAATTAATCCAATATTTTTCTTGCGTTATCCTTGTAAGTGTGGAGTAGAAAAGATGAATATCTTTAAGTATTTAATGAAGCACATAATGTTAGAGCTGTTTCTCTATACAGTGCCAGATGATTATGTACCACTTTCTGCACTGTTATGGAACTTTAAATTGAAATACATATTTGCTTTTTCCTGTTAATTTTTAAAGTGATTACCCATAACATCGCCATCTTCAACATATTTTGACTATATTTTTAACTATGGCACGTGACCATGATGAAAGGTTTTCATAAAAAATACCAGAAATTTATTACAGCCTTATCAGTTTTATTTGCTAAAACTTAACTACATAAGTATTATATTTACCAAATAGAGAGCAATTCCTCCTCCTATGAGAAAGCCACAGTAAACATCAACTGGATGATTCTTATACTGGGTGATACGAGTCAGACCACATATAATTCCACAGATGATAAAAGCAAAGACCAAGAGTGGTTTCAGAAGTTTTGAGGAGTCTGTTAATGTAGAATTGAAGTACATCTTGAAAAAAGAAAGAAATGAAGAAGCAGTTGGAGAAACTTAAATTTACCTAAGAGGAAATTAATTTCTCTCATTCAATGTTTCTTTCACACTTAGACCACTATTACACAGTAATATTGCAAATAATCAGTTCAATTTTATTTTACAGCCCTGTTAAAATCTGTTCACTTACTGTACAAAGATCTGAAATCACAAGGAATGGACTTCCAAAAACATAGGCAGTGTTGTTTATTGACATCAATTAGGATAAGGATTTTATGCCTAAATACTGTTCACAGTCAGAGCCTAAATGTTCTGTAAATGTGACTGAGGAGCCACTGCTTCTGAAATACAGAAGCCAAATGTCATGCCAGATGAAAGCAATAACCTGTTCTAACAAAAGCTACCACCAGATGCTTTAGAGAGCCATTTCTCAACTGGGGGCCATGATGTCAGGAAGGTCATGAAAATTAAGTGGAGGTGGTTTCTATTGCAAATTTTGGCCTTTCCCTGGGCAGAATAAATACTGACAAGCTCCCAGTACATACACAACTCCATTATCTAATTTGATTAACTGGTTGTTATTGTTCTTGTTTTCCTCTGATTTTTACAGCATGAGTGATGGCATTACTTTTTTCTTTTCTTTTTTTAGTCTTTTTTTTTTTTTAAACTTCAAGTAAGTGGTCACTCATACACAAACATTGCAGCCTATACTGAAGAAATGCCATTGGTCAGATGTGGAAAATCAGCTGTGATCGCTGCAGCATGTCCTACAATTCCCTGCTAGTTACTGATGGTTTTTATTCACTTTCTTTGCAGTAGCACCTTGGAGGCCTCTGGGACTGATTGTGCCAGTTCATCCATGTTGGAATTCTATGGAGGTCAAATGAAATTACATCATATAAATGTTTGTTCCTGAATGCCTCAAGTTTAAAAGCAGCGAGTCAAGTGAAGACAGCAATAAAGAAAAGGCAGAACACATAAAGGTTAATTTGAATGGTAAGTTAAAATATCACCCTGTAAGACCGATAAGCACTGCATTTTAAATGTGAATAATATGAGGCATCAAATATACTTTAACATTACAGTTTTTGTTGCTTCTTAACAAAGGATGTGAAGTACTTGAATCTTTTCTGTGTTCTTAATAGAGCTGGTTTTATTTTAGCTGTTAGTAGTTTTATTTTGCTTTCAAACTAGGAGGATAAAAACATCCACCCAGGATATCCAGGCAACACATCACTTTACAATATACAGCAAATGACTTTCTGACTTTTGTCTTGAATAAATGAAAATGAACAGAGTTGGTTACTCACCGAAATGTACACTGCTGCAAAGGCTGCCAGGGTGGCATGTTGAGAAGGGAATGACTTTCTGCCAAGGAAGGACACTCAAATTATGCTTCTCAGTTCAAATACACTGTGCTAGTGTTCACTTGGGAAAAAACACTGGGTGGTACATTCATTTTCAGCTTACACTTCCTAAGCAATATATGATCGATCAGTAACATTTAATTTCTAAATTTCTTTTCTATAATCTGGAGAAGGGACTAATGTTAATGAAATGCTTTTGTTTTGAAGTAAATATTTAGCATGAAATTATTTTTGTGTACTAAGAAAAGCATGTGTACTAAGAGAACAGTGGGAACAAGCTAAAGACTGGACGCTTGATTGAGATAAATATCTATACATGTATTTCTGTAAATAAATTTCCACAATAATTTTTAAGTAAGTACCTAATTATACAACTTATTTAATGCATGAATCTTGATCTTATGATTATTGTCACTGACTTCACTTGGACTCTTTTCAATGTAAGGACTCATACACTTTGATAGTCAGGCCCTAGCTTCAGCAACTGAATTCATCATCTTCATGCCCTGGCTTTGTTGCCCTAATAATGGGGGGATGACAGGGTGACATTCTTCTCAGAAAGAGGCAAACTACATCTTTATTTGCTGTATCTTCAGGTTTATTTTTTAAATTTCAGCACTTTGTAACATGATAGGAGTGAAAGGGGCACAAGAACATGGAAAGGGCATTTTAAGTCACCGGGCCCCTGCCTGAAGCCCAGTACAAGAGGGTAAATGAAAATATGTCCAAACTGTGTGAGACAGTAGGCAGTATCAGGTCTATTCTTGAAATTGCTGAGGGCCTTCTGCTCCCGTTGAAAACCTGAGGACTTGAATGATGTGGACTGGGTCTTGAGTCAGAAACTACAGATAGGAAAATTAAAAGTGAAAGCTTAGCTTCTACTTCTCTGACCAAGAAAAGGCAGTTTTGTTAAGTAGCAGCTACACAGAACCATCACATGAGGCCCTCTAACATTTTAACATTCTTCTTATAGACCCTTTTCAATCCTCTAAAAACAACAAAAGCAAAGTGATGGGAACATGAAGGAGAGAATTTTACACAGTAGAGGGAAAAACTGAGTTAGAGGTGGATTCACTAACACCTGTTCTATGGCAGACATCTAGTTTATAGCTTGTGGAAGCCCTAAAAAACTTGTATGACCTCTGAGCTCTAGAAGTGAGTAAGATGCAGTGAAGATGTATAGCAGTTTATATCTGTACATTTGTCTTCTTAAAATAGCATGGACATGTAATGTATGTGCTGGCTGTCTTGGTGAAGAAGGGTATGTCTATCTTGCAGCTACAGCAGTCATGTTCACCTGAGAAAGCTCAGCTTGGACTAAATACTTGAACAATTATTCAGCTTCGCAGATGGGTCTTGCCACCCTATCTGGGCTCCATGTATAGCCATTTTCCTAGCAGCACCTGAGTTAGCTAGTTTAAAATATCAAAGTCTGAAACATAGTCTGTTTCCTTTAGATGTTTTTCTGCAAAGCAGCAGAGTCTACTTTCTAAATTTTTTTCCTATGCATTTTGCCTTGTCTGTTCTAAATAATTAATTGGCAATTAAATGTGTGCATGTAGTTCAGTGTGAATGCCACACTGCTGACCTGAATTTGAGCCCGTGGCTCCAGTAGGTTCATGACTCTGTCCAAGATGAAATCAGCATGATTCCTTTTTTTCTAAAGACAG